GCACCTCTTGACATACTTCTGGAGGGGCAGCACCAGCCAAATAACAGACCTTTTCAATAGAGGTATTAATATATGAATATACTCCTAAATCTCATTCCTATCTATATAAAGCAAACCATATACAATGAAATGTAATGAATGTAAATAAAAGTTGAGGTTTCAGGAAAGGAAACAGAGATTTAATCAATGATTTTTAAAAAATCAATTTGATTTAAATCATGATTTAAATGTAAAATATTTTTATTTAAATCTGATTTTTTAAAATTTAGAATTCAAATTGTGATTTAAATTTGATTTAAATTTTTTTAAAAATTATACAATTACGGTAATACAGTACAGCACCAAACCCATTCACTTCATGGACACCACCCTGGAAACCCTGGGCAGCAGAGCTGGTGATTAAGCCTTTTGGGAACTGCAAGGTTGGGAACCACTGCCCAAGATTATAGCTAAAATCAAAATAATATTAAATATTAAACCAGAGGCGGCTATGTTGAACCTATGGGAACAAAAACAACACACCTCTCCAAATGGATGAATGATGAAGAGTGTCTTCCACCAGGGCAAGACTCTACCTGGAAGTCACTTAACAGACTTCAAAGCAAAGTGGGAAGTTCAAAGAATAATCAGATAAAATGAGGCTACTTGGATATAGGACAAATTTTCTGTGACTATGGAGAAATTCAATCAATGCTGCATTTATGTGCATGCAACTTATGCCCCACCATGTGTACAAAAGGAGATCTAGCAAACAGTTAAGAAAATGCTATTGAAGTAGCCCACTTCTGGTCAAAAACAGTATAATTATCTTAAACTTGTCATTTACTTTTAATTTTACCTATACACTTGTCCCTTCCGAAATGCTAGGGTTAGGGGCACCAGATCCCCATGCACTTCAATATCAGTGTTTAACTCTTATGTCCCCCAAAACAAAATTACAAAGCAGAAACACTTGATTCACACTCACACACACACACACACACACACACACACACACGAGAGAAAGAGAGAGAGAGAGAGAGAGCATATGAGTTTACTGTATTAACTGTACAACATGCCCCAGCACCTTCCCCAGCTCCTATGTGGAGCCACCATGCCAGAAGAGGGGATTAGCCAGGCCACCACCATCAGACTGGGGGCTCCCTCACTGCCTACAACAGGAGCCTTGGAAAGTCTGAGACCCACATTTCTCAGGTCACTTCCTGGAAATGAATAGCAGCACAGCATCAATTGATCGATCGCTAAAACCATGTTGCTTAAGTATGTGCAATTCAAGGGAGAAGTATACTTCCTATATGTCCACATCTTTAAATTGTGCAATGCTCTGATGCTAATAAAGAAAGATTAAAAATATTTTAGGTATACTGTTCAGAAGCATCAGATTCTTAATTGTTCTAAAACGGAATTTGTGCATTTTGGGCGCATTTATAAACTGCCAATCAATTATATAAACTTTTAAAAACCTTTAAAAGTCAAGGACATCATTTAGCCAATATGTCTCACAGAAACATCATTTTCTCCATCTTAAAATCCTGTGTTTAGACAAAACCATGGTACCACTATTATATGAAGCAGAAGCAGTCTGGGTGAAATGAATATAAGATATTACAAAATCATGTCCTTAGTGTCTTGTCTTTACATGCATCATAAGTTTCACTTACCTAAACACCTTTAGAACATTCACCTTTGCCCTAATCCATTCACTCATCAGATGTCCTTTATTTGGGCATTTCATGTCATGGGTGCCTACTAGACATGGAAATGAATTAAAAAATGGATCACGATATTCGTGGAAAATCGCTGATCAATTAAATATTCATCCCTTCATATTCATGGGTTCCAGAGACCCCCATGAACACAAAGAGATGAATATTTCCCCGTTTGATTCATCCCGTAGTAGTAGTAGTAGTAGTAGTAGTAGTAGTAGTAGTAGTAGTAGTAGTAGTAGTAGTAGTAGTAGTAGTAATAATAATAATAATAATAATAATAATAATAATAAATAAATAAATAAATAAAAACAATTCTGCCTACTGATAGGCAGCCACCCACCTCCACAGCGTACCCACTTCCTCTCCCTACCTTAGCTGCCCCCCATTACTGCCGCCGCTGCAGAGGTCTCCATCAGGCCTCCACAGCCATGGCGTGTAAAAAGGGAAACTGGCTGCCCTTTCCAAAAAAGGTAGCTGCGGCTTCATTTAGGGTAGGGAGGTAAACTAGGAAAAAAAATAATCCTGAGAATTTCTGTTTCTGATACAATTATCACTCCCAGAACAACCAGATGAATCATTCTCTATCTTGATATTCTGGCAAAAAGAACATCTAATTAATTGTTATGACTTCTGTAATCTACCTTGATTTGGAAAGCAAAATTTAATGGCATACTTTATTTATTTCTCCTTCCAATAAGCCTAGCAAGTTCACATGATTGATAAGTGGAGGCACAAACAAGCTACACCATTTTTATTGTTCAAAATAAAAATAAGTCATTATTAGGACACCAGATCTCTTTTTGTCTCTCAAAACAGGATTGACAGACTTTCTGAACTAAACAGTTAATGTCTGTGTTCTGTTTAACAGAGAATATATTCAATAGCCAACAGAAGATCAGCACAGAATCATGTATGACTGTTTCTAAATATATAATCCAAAGATGCTCACATAACTGAAAAGGAAACCTGGCAGACAAAAGTAAAAGAGAAATTGGAGAGTCATTCACTCAGGGATAGCCATTTGCCCATCCTAACCCTGTGCAAATACAAGAAGTAACTATCTTTATTGATATAAAGCTGTTATCAAGACTACGGAAATCTTGTATTGATAAACTAGCAAATTACATGTTAACAATTAAATATAATCCAGTAAATCTACATTCCTTTATTTTCCAATTATCTCAAAATGGATCCATTATTTATTTATGGAATCAAATAGATCATGTATATTTTAGGTCGTAAAATGTTAACAATTTATTGCCACAGATACCCTTGTCATAAACGAATGTACAGTATAAAACTATCCATAGAGGTAAACTTAAGTGAATATGCTAATGCCTGTAAGCAGAACATGACACAAGTTTTAGTCCAATACTTTTGCTAATATTCAGACTATCTATCTGCACTAACTGTACTTTTACAAACCCATTTAAAACATAATAATAATCAAAATCAACTGCATTTTAAATGTGGGAGGGGATATGATCTGTGTTTCTTGAAACTTGCTATGGTTTTTAATTCTGTTTCAAACATACTGTAATTCTAACTGTTACTGTTCTGGACGTTACTGTTATAAGCAGATCGATTTTCAATCATATAATATGTACAAGCTGAGGGCACACAAGAATCAAATCAGAGACTGCAAATTCCTCTCCACAGTGCAACAATATGAGACTACTGAGCATACCAGCTAGGTGATAGTCTTTCTACTCACCCAGCCATAAGCTTCAGCACTCTGGAGTTCTACTACAATTGCCCTACAGCTCTGGCTGCAGAGGTCTGCTACATGAGCTGAAAATTACTCTTCTCAGTCTCAACTAAAGGGATATCTTCCCTTCTTCCCCTCTATGCTAAAAGGAACATTTGAACAAGGGTATTAGTGTTAAGAGATGAAGCCTCGATGTAAATTCCTGACCCTATTTCACCTTCTATTCCAAACTACCCAACATTTTTAGACTCTTCCCCTTTCACAGCTTGGAGAATCCTTGAGTATTTTACTTTCTGGTCCTTATGCACACTTCTTCTTGGACTCCTTTAATTTCCAAAGGTTAGGGAAGGACCAGATTAGAGTTGAAGGGTATGGTTTCTGAAGTATACACCCTCTCACCTAAACTTCCCTCCAGTACATTGTCATTGGTTCAGAGGTTGAGCAGTTCAACCTCCCACTGCTGACAGTTCAACTGCTGTCCTGTCAACATCACATATCTCTTGAGGATCAATAAGCACAATTAACTCTCTCTGGAGTACTTGGGTTTCTTTTTTCCTTTCCCCTTTGCAAATGTATTAATTAATGTTTTCTTCCTAATTGAGTTTCTAGAAATAGACGTAATTCTTCCTTTCCTGATACCACAACAACTGTAGCAAGCAACAAAAGCTAGAGAGATAAAGCAGGATTTTCAAGAATCCAGACAATATCTGTCACTGTGTCAGGCATGCTACTTTTGCTGCGTCGATGCACAGGGAGTTCACTAGGAAAGATGATGATGATGATGATGATGATGATGATGATGATGATGATGATGATGATGATGATGATGATGATGATGATGATGATGATGGTGAGTATAATACTGTAAGCAAGCAAAACATATATAAGGGGCTCAGCACAAAAGGAAAAGGGGTCAAGTCTACCAGTAAAAGATATATATCAGGTCAGAGTATATATCTATCTGGGTTAATGGTCTACTATGACACTAGGAAGGACCAGCCCCTGTCAAGGGGGCACAGTGGGGAATCGAACTCCCCATCTCTAGATACCTAAACCACTTAAGAATTCAAAAGAAGAGAGAGACATTTGAAGGGTGAGGCCCTGAGAGCGTGGAAATAAAGGGGAGTGGAAATAAACAAGGGGGGGGGCGTTTGTGTGCTGCTGGAGCTGGTGAGAAGGCTGGCTAGAGTCCAAGGGAGGTCTGAGGGGGGAGAGGCCCCTTCACTCCTCCCTCCAACTCGCCCGCCGGAAGGGAGGGAAGGTCCCCCAAGAGGGAGCGTTTGACCGGCGAGCAAGACACCGAAAGGAGGGAAATACCAGTGAGGCGTCTGGAGTGACAGAAAAGAAACGAGCCAAGGAAGGAAGGAAGGAAGGAAGGAAGGGAAAGGGGGGGGGCGTGAGGGCGGACAAGCGACAGCGGCCAGAAATCTCCTGCCATTCGCAAGAAGAAGAGCCGAGGTGATGGACGGCGACGCATCTCGCCTTTTCCGCCTCTCGCCTCATAGGAAAGCAACCACGGGCGGGCAGGTGCTGCCGCTCTTCGGTCCCTTTCGGCCCCAAGCAGCGGCACGCTCGCTACTCACCCTCGGCCCGGAACCGCAGGTCCGATACGGTTTTCTGCACGGCGGGCATAACTGCCTCCCCGCCACGGAGCCCGGCGCTACTCTGTCTTCCGCTCCTGCCGCCGAGATTGGCGGCTGGTCTCTCTCCGAGCCGGCCCGGCGTTTCTTTTCCAGTCGCTG